GAAGAAGCAAAACATTGGGCCTTGAGCAGATACAAGGTAAAACTTTACACTTTTCTTGGAAGGAAAACTTTACACTTTACACTTGCCTGTTTTTTAAAGTTACTTTTTAAGTTACTTTTTAAAGTTACTTATACGCTGTAAAATGGGTACGTAGCTCCTGGGACGTATTTTCAGCATCTTATTCGACCTCGAAATTCTCAGTAATTAAAAGCCTTTAATAATACAGTGGAACCAAACGATAAGCGCTTGCAAAAGGACTATTAATTTATAAATGAGCACAAAATTAGGTGGTTATTTCTTTAGTTTAGATGGAGATTTCGGATATACAGTTTATTGTGTGCGTTTTTATATCTTCGAAGTTTTGGTAAAATTTGTGCGCGAAATTTTTTTCAAATGGAAAGCCGCTGAGTAGCTCCTTCATTAAATCCCACCGGTATCGTAGAAGGGGCGCTGTCGTTTGTCGTTTTCATTAGTCTTCTCAGACAGAATTTTTACACGTAATTCGCGTCGCCGCCCTTATCTCCAGAATGGATTATTGTAAGGGCCATATTCATCTTTTCAAATACTATGAATTGCGGTTGCAATTACAAAGATAAACAGCGTCTAGGAATGGTGCCCGGCTGTGACAGAAAGAGTGAGGGGGTAGAGTTTTTTTTCGTGATCATGTATACACTGAAGTTCAGTACAACGGGCAGTGATTAGCAATTGGCGACGTGCATCTAACTGCACCAGGTGTGTGGATGTTTTTCAGTGATATCAGTAGCACTGGGTCCTTATACCGATCGGCCGATTGGTATCGGTAGTGTTGATTGCTATAATCGGTATTTTAAAGCGCTACGAGCTCCACTTCTGGTACACTTCGCTAGAGTCACCCTCGTGCAAGACAAGCTTGCCAAGGCTTATTGATATTATAGGGAGAAATAATGCGATCTACACTAAGCCATTTCACTCACAGTCTTCCTACACTTCCTGCCGCCCCACCGGCATTTTAGAATTCTAACAGCTTTCTTAAAAATAAACAAGTAACGGCGCACACTAGGCTTTCTATTGCGATCACTGGCTTTTTCCACAGTTTTCATCATAGACCCTTGTTGCTGAGTAGCTTTCTGACAGATACTTCTAGACAAGGGAATAAAAATACTCCTCAGGTTCGGATTCGTCATTTCAATTTTTACTTTCACAGTTAATGTTTCATGTAAAAATTGTCAGAGCCAAATTGTACCGTTCGTATGGTGGAGGAGCGTGTAAGATGATTTTACATACACTTATCCAAACATAGTTGCGAAGCATGTTCAGAAAATTTTAACACTCGAGCTACCTTGGTTGCATAGTTGCAGTACTGTGCAAAAAATCCTACGTGCTCATTCGTGAGATGTAGGGCGATGTAAAAACTCATTTCGCGTTTGGAAGTCCTTACTTGGTCTGCAGACATTCTAATAAAATCTCAACCTTTTGCTGCCAAACCGGCATGGTGCGCCTTCATCCTAGTAAAAGCATCTTCGTAAAGTCCCAACTTTCCAACTTGTTTAAGGTCGTTTTCCCGCCAAAATCTTTAACGTGTTCATGAGTACCAGGAAGACATGATTGTTCATCTTACACCTAGGGTATAATCTGTAATAAAAGGCAACCTGCCAGAATTTCGGCTTCTTTGGTATCGTAGGCATTAAGATCAAAATTTGCGCATAGACGTTACATGTATGTATGTAACATATATATAATATATATAATATATATTATATAATATGCGAAGTTAAAACAATCTGTAATATGCGTTCTTCAATTGCATGCATATAAAAACGCATATGGTTGTTAATATCTATTTAGGCATATTTTGGCCATGTGTCTGTGCGGTCCAATCAAATATATGCAATGGTTCGATGCGATGACGATAATTCGTGTGCGTTATGGCCGTTATTCTTTGTGCATATCAACTCAAAAGAAAATCGCCAGTTGCTGGACAGATATTTCAGTTCAATGACTGCTATTGTGCCTCTACTCGCCTCAGAATCGGTTCAGTGCAGTTTTACACCAAATAGCGTTGAAAAAAGCTCATTTTTTTTTTGTGGAACTCTTGAATTACTTGCTGGTCATTCAAAAACAAACACTTTGAAGGGCTGTTT